CAATGAGTCCATATCAGATTTGCTCAGAGCATATTAAACCTGTGGACAGCCTGCTGCTCCACGTCCAGAGGTAAGGCTTGGTAAAAGGAGACACAAGTGGAGTAGCCCGGGCAGGGCAGATGTTCACCCTTTTAGTCCATGAAAGGGTGGGTCCTCTGCACCAGCCACGCAGGATAGCCTTGAGGGGCAAGCTAGGAAAGGAAGCCATAGATCGATGATTACATTAATACTTTTCACATTCTGTGCAGCTGGGCGGTTTAAATTGTTGTCTTCTTCACTGGAGATAATTTGGAAATGTATTTCATCCAGACATGTACACCTCCAAACACTTTACCCCCATAAGGGTTAGTTACTTGGGCACTATATGCATGTGAGCTGAATTTCACTCTTTTGCAAGTAAATATTTTTACTGCAGACTTGACCTAAATCTGAAAGTTAAACCTTATTCTTTCTTGGGTCTTGCATTATCACATGTTCGAAGTTTGTACAGTATGAATGTGGCTATTGACTACATAGCTAGTTAGCCAGTCTTATGATGGTGTAGAAACCAGAATACAGTGTAGCTCGCTCTTACCATAGCTGCATTGGCTCTGCAGAAAAACCAGGACAAAAAATTAAAAAGTTAATGGGTAGATATAATTCTGGAGAGAGGAGAAATAGAGTACAGATCTCATGGGTAGCCTGGTGCCATTATTGCATTATGACTTTTTTCATGACTGATTTTGTTTGGTTACAGGTAATTCCAGACCGTCTGGCAATTTTTGCAGCTGTTACAACTTTCTAGTCATGACTTGAAATCCTGTTGAGCCTATAGATCTGTCAGTAATAATCACCTGACTTAGAGAAAGGAGCATGCCAAAAATCAAATTAGTGTAAAGTTATGAAACAATCACAAGGTGCCAATGCTTTCATAGTAATGCTATCTCTCAGTTGTTCACATTATTTATATAACTTAACAAATGGCTTCTGCTAACTAACTGTATAGAAAGGAAAATATCAATTCAATCTTAGAACTGGTGAAAGTTAGTCTAAAAACAGAAACCATATATATTTCACGAAGAAAAAGACATCTAAACACAACTTTAATTAAATAGTGTAATACAGGCAAGGGGACCACTGATAGAAATAGCTGAAATGTTTGAAAAAAAATATTGTTTTGAAATATCAAATGACAATTGATTATTTTTGTGCCCGAAGAAGAATTATGATCTGCTAAAGTTGCACTGCAATAATTTTTTTAGTAATTTTTTAATTGTTCTGAATATCTAATTCTTGGGATACATCTTTAAGAAAATGCTATAATTTATAACATTTCTAACTTTACAGTCTTGGGATTCAGAATTTCTACAGTGCAAATTAAATCAGAAACCCTTCTTTGGGGAGCAGTGCTTATCTACACTGAATAAACCAGAGTAAATCAGAACAGGCCCCAAAAGCTAAGCTTTTGTTGTGCCTAATTTTGGGGAGCAGTGCTTATCTACACTGAGTAAAGCAGAGTAAATCAGAACAGGTCCCAAAAGCCAAGCTTTTATTGTGCCTAATAACCATCTCAGAACAATTTCTTTGAAGAAAATAAATAGGTGTGTGCAGTGCATGAGAGAAACCTATTTCATTTTATGTGATTTTGTTCTCATATCTGTAGACAAAAATTGGCACATGGACAATTTAATCAAGTTTCTCACTTTTGAGACAAAAATAATGGAAAGATTACAAGGCTGAATTTGTTTGTTTGTTTGTTTTTTTCGTTTGAGTGTACCTGTTTTGGTGTGCAAAAATGCATCTACAATTTGTGTACCTAATTTATATGTACACACACAAATCATTCTTGTATATGCAAAGCAGGTATTTTTCTGCGTTAAAATGTCCAGGTAGACACTTTCTATGTATGCAGGATCATGATAGTGACATGCAATATCTATTTAGACAATTGCATGTACAAGATTTTGAAAAATATGCCACCAAAATACAGGTTGGACCTCTCTGGTCTAGCACCTTCAGGATCTGACTGGTCCCAGATGAGGGATTTTGCCAGACCAGGGGAGGTAATTTCTGGCCCCCTGCTGCCAGCCCCATCACCTGCCCTGGCCCCCTCACTGGGCTTCCTGGCTTCTGGACCCCACAGCCCAGCTGAGCCACGCATCAGCTCCTTCTCCTGCCCCTCCCTCCCCCGCAACCCAGCTGAGCTGCGCCCTCTCTTCCTCCCCCCCCCGCACAGCCCATTTTCACACACACACACACACTGCAGCCCAGCTGAGCCACGTACCAGGCTTCCCAGCTTGCCCCCGCAGTCCAGCTGGGCTGCACTTCTCCTTCTATCCCCTGCATCGTGCCAGGACCCTCCACTCCCTGGAGCGCCAGGTTTCTCTGACCCAGACCACCGATATTGCTGGACCAGAGAGTTCCAGTTTATAGAGGTGCAACCTATAATGCATTTGATTAACCATTTTAAAACCTTTGTTCCAATGGCCTTTTGTTGTTCTTGTTGTTGTTGGGCTTTATTAAACTTTTTGTCTAATAGAAAGCCCAAGAACTATTTCCTTCAACTACATTTCCCTTTATTTGCTTCAGAAGAAGCAATCAACTGCAGTTTCTTGTCTGTGTCTTATTTGTAATTTATGCGGTGTATTTACTGACTTGACCAAGCTCCCTGCTTGGTGTTATGAAGGTGTGGTGAATTCACTCTTGTAATTGAACTGGTGTTATAATAATGATGTGTATCAGAAACCTCACACAAAGTCAGTGCAATAATAAACAATAGCTTCATAAATTTGAATAATTGTTGTGAGCTAGAAATATGGTGGAGCACAGGAGATCCTGCTGTGTGATTGCAGCATCCTTCTTACATGGGAAAAGCTATTCCCTTATGCCCCCAAATAGGCATTAAAACCAGTGTACCTCTTCTTTGACGTCTGTTAGAACAGAAGGAGGCCATTTGAAATCCCCAAAACATATTCATAGTGACAAAGTGTGGTAAATGGAGCAAAATGGTTTTGGAGAATGAGGATGTGTAAACAAGACAATAAGATGTCATTAATTTTCCTCAATTTGTTGTGATGATTTTTTCAAGACTCTCTGAAGTAAGCCTTTGTGCATGATGCTGCATTTACTATGTAGAATTTCACCCTGAAGGACAGGGCTGCTAAAATCATTGCTGGTTTGGAGCTGTTGCTTTCAAGTGCAAACAAGTCGCATTTGGACAATATTTCAAAGAGTTCTTGGTTTTATTTTTAAGAATAACTATGTGGGTTCCTTTTAGGGATGTAAAGGTTTAACCACATAACTGATAAGCATCAGTTATCAGATCAGGTTGTAGTTAAACTCTCCTGTCAGCACACACCCTGTTCCTAGAAGTCAGCTATAGCTCCATGCTGCGGGTTCTGCTATATGAGGTTTATAATGCAGTGCAGATGGCTCCCGGGGAGCAGGGGGCTGCCACTCACGCTGTGGGTTCTGATACTGCAGAGCTTGCAGCACAGGGTAGTAGACGGCCCCCTGGAAGCGGGTCCGGATCTGATGCACGCTGGGAGGTAGCTGTGTAACTGCTAGGGCTGTGTCTACACTATAGGCTTCTTGCGCAAGAAGCTTTTTGCGGAAGAGATCTTCAATGCAAAAGCGCATTGAAAAAGCGATGTGCTTTTCCGCAAGAGAGCGTCCAGACTGCATAGATGCTCTCTCAAAAGGAAACTCTGATTGCTGTTTACAGAATGGACACCTGTGCTTTTTTTCTATTGCCTCTTTTTGTGCAAAAAAACCCTGTTCCCCATCCACACCCACCTTTTTGAGCAAGAGCTGTTGTACAAAAAGGAATTATTCCTCGTAGAAGGAGGAATACCTACACCGGAAAAACCCCTCTGTTCTTTCATTTTACTTGCGCAAAAATAGGAGGTGTGGACTCTCCACGAGTTTTTGTGCAAAAACTCTGTAGTATAGACCTAACCCAAGATTTTTAATGGTTACATGGTTACTTTTTTTAAACATTTTTACATCCCTACTTCTGACAACAAAAATTACATGATCCCAGGAGGGGGTGCCAAAGCATGAGCCTCACTGTTCTAGGCAGTGGGGACCAAAGCGGGGCCCTGTAACCTGAGCCCCGCCACCAAGGGCTGAAGCCATGGGGCTTTGGCTTTGTTTCTCTAAAGTATTAGAACTGGGCAGGGGGGAATTAGTTACACAACAGGCGAACCAAAAAGTTACTTAATGTGAAGTTAACCTTTCAAGTCAAATGACTCCTGAAAAAGTCAAATGACAGGACAAATGCCCTTTTTCCTCCTCCTAAGTGGGGAATGACTCTCAGAAGGTTTGCTTTCGGAAAGTTTGCACCACTCAATCATCTGAATTAGCTAACTCAACACAACTGTCCATCACAATTTTGACAGATGACAAAATGGAAAAAGTATGTAGTGTTACTGATAGACAATTCTGTGTTGTGATGAGCTGCATATTTGTTTAGTTACTTTCATGCAGGGAAACAGATTCCCATCTGGGGAGTTCGGGGGAGGTGGAAATCCCCTTTTCAAATAGGAAGAGTCTTTTTTTATTTGCACGCTGCAGACGTAGATATAATTCTTTTGAGAAGAGGATGATTTTAATTTATTGCTGTGATTGAATTTGTGCATGTTTTGTTCACATAAATACCCGTTAATATAGTGTAATGAGACTGGCTTCTTCTGTGCACTTATGAATAATTCACACTGGAATTTGTTAGGAACTGAAAATTGATTGTCATCTTTTTATAAAAGTAACTTACACTGAGACCCTTTTAAATAAACTTACATGTTCTATAATGAACTGATTGATAATATACTCCTAGAACTACTGCTTTATTCACTCCCACCACAATTTCAGAAAATGTATCTAGAGCAAAACAGGTAAAGAACAGTGTTTGAGATGTTTATTAATGTGATATTTTCATGTCCTTTTCTCATCAGTTGATAATCACTCAGTATCCATGAATTTCCGTCTGCTTCTCACTACATATTATCTTCTCTTCTTTCCAGAACTATGAAAAGACATAACACTTTTTACGATGGGTGCTATTCCAGTCTTTCAGGAGTATGCCATATTCCAATGGCTGAACCATTTTGCACCAAAACCAGAGAGGTTAGTCGATTTCATAAGAAAAATCAAATATTTCAGAGTTGTTTGGATATCCTTTGTGGTTTATAATTCTATGGACTAAATAAATGGTTCCATAATCCAGATACTGGAATGGAGAAATGGAGACTGTATCGCAGCATTTTATCAAATCAAAAATAAAATTAGAATTTGGTAGGCAAAGGAAATAAAAGGTGTTGTGGTTTAATGATGGAAAAAGTCAGACCAAGTCTGGTTTTCCATGGAAAAGAATGCCAATTGTTTAGTAATGTTTAGTAGGGTATGGCAATCTAGATTTCCCCAGGGACTTTCATGGGGGTGAAAGTCTCATAAGTTATGAAGAACCAATCCATTGAAATGGCATTGTGGGCAAACAAGAGAGAGAAAATTGAGGCACTCAACATCTTTGTACTCTGTATGTTCTGCGCTAGCACAGTAGGGTCTCAGTCCATGACTGGGGCTCCTAGGTGCTACTGCAGTACAAATAATTCGTAGTGCCAATGTTGCACTTGTTTCCTTCCACGATGTCTGAGCCATTTTACCATGTATAGCATGTAGTTTGTTGTATTTATTTGATGGAGTATATGTGCCCAAAGAATTATAGGTGTTCACATAACCTAGTCGTTTAACAGTGTGACACAGCTCCTATGAAAACTCAGTGGATCCTGTGCTTCCTGGTGGATTTCCTTGCCTCAGAGGCTTCCAGCAGCCCACAGTGTTAGGCATCATGCCCAGGGCTTCAATTTACTGTTTGTTGATCTCTTTTCTTCATTGGCCATTGTCTGGTAAAGCGGAGAATAAACTCCACAGTCCTTTTCCTCGAGTGGAAATGGGGAGATGGATGTTTGGGGGAATCCAGGCCCACCCTCCACTCCAGGTTCTAGCCCAGGGCCCTGTAATAGTAGCTGTTCATGTGAATCCCTGACGCTTGCTAGGATACATC